TACAATATATATATATATATATAAATGCATTTTTCCCTAGGACACTGCCCGACACCAGAAGTCACGGCAGCACCATAGACCACGCTGCTATGCGGAGACCTGAGTGGAATGGAAACCTGGAATGGAGTGTTCACTGTGATAACGTGATCATCTAGCCAGCTCTTGATCATCAATGTGTGACTAGGAGCTGTCGTGACAGCATGGCCACAGTGCTGGAGGTGCATTATTAAACGGAGTCCCAGCACAAAACAGTGATGCTGGCTGGATGCATATATGTAGCAGTATGGAGCAGCCTTTCTCAACCAGGGTGCCGTGCTCTTTGATACCATGGGGTGCCTCAAAACTTTCACACAAAGTCATGCCTGTGATGTGAAGAAGGCTCCTGATGTGAAAGAGGGGACTCTGATGTGAAGGTGGGCTGTGATGCTGAGGAGACTGATGAGACGGGGGTAATCCCACTTTTTTTGCGTGTTTTTGCTCCAGGGTCCCCCATTCATACCAGACCCATATCCTGTATATATTTGGTATTTGGTATGGATTTTGGAGGGACTACTCATTTTTTACAATCACTGTTTTTACATTTTAGGTTTGGGTGCATTGAGAGTTTGCATACTTTTAAAGACTTAAAAAGGTTGAGAAACGCTGGTATGGAGTAAGAACCTCCTCTATGCTGCCAAATATATGCGTAGATCGAAGATCTTTTGGGAGAAAGTGAAGGACCATTTCTACTTTTACCATAGGAAAAATATAATTTATGCCTGCTTGCTTTGTATTTTCCCATAAGAGGTGAGCACTTTCATTAATGAGATATTAACTGCTCACTCACTCACTGATACTCTTAGAGGTGCCCTGTCTCTTTTATGGTTTTCCTGGCCGATGGGAAGGGGTTAAACTCCATATAAAACTACATGTCCACAGCGTGACAACACTGCATGGATCTACAGGCAGGATCAACAGGTAATAAACCTATGCTCCCTATACAAAAGGGAGATGTGAGTTTTGGAGCTTCAGACCAAAACCACAAGTACCAGTAAGCCGAAACAGTCCTGCCCACAAATAGGTTTTGTGAGTCAGCAATGGTACAGCGTGGTATACATGTCCAGAGCTGCCATATAAAATGCCATTTATCCAGATGTCACTTCTGCTTTTCTAGAATGTGTAGCATGTCCTCAGGTCTCTAAGCCCTCCATTGATGACCTTCCTGGATGGAGACACAGACCTGGATGGAGGTGTGCACAATGTCAGAAAGGTCACAAGGGAAATAAGATGGGAGTACATACAATGTCACTCACCCTGACAGGAAAACTGCATTTCCCCCTCCTCACAGCCTCCTCGTCTGCCCCCCACTGGTGCGGACGGCTGGCCTCTGGAACATACGTTGGTTTTTTCCTCCTCAGGCTCTGCCGCAACTTGTTCATCTCAGGAGTTGCCAGGCTGTAGATGCCAAAAAAAAAGAGACATTTTAGATAAAACCAAAACTTGCCACAACTAGAAATAAAAACTAGATCATTGTAATACTGTGTTGTTGAAAAAAAACAGCCGAGAATATTCTACCTGGCTTCTTAAATTTTCAGATAGAAGTTTATTGAGTCGGGGGGTCTGACAGGGTCAACCACCTAACAAATTTAGTCTAATTTAGCAGGAGTCACCCGAAATTCAATCTGTGTATGGCTAGCTTTAGCCCTCATTCACACCTCTGCCATACAACATCGCAGAGGTGCTGGCGGGGTGCGCTTGTGCTGCACGGTGGTAGGAAGCCCACTCATTTGAATGTCTTTTAAATCACATGGTAATAGGTTACCATGTGATGTGGTGCAATGCAACACACAGGTGCAATTAAGAAATAATGGCACTGCATCGCACCTAACATTGCAGCATGGGATGAGGGATTGCGCACAGCATTGAACATGCTCCTGCATCGCATAGAAGTAAATAGAACTTTAGGGTTAAGATGAGGAAGAAAACAGGTTTCAGGTAAGGGTTACTATTTAGAGGTCAGATCAAAGTTACCTCTATATCTGTTCCTAGTCAGTGAATCAGAAAGAAATGAAGCTGAAGCATCAGCATGAGATCCAGGCAAGTATTAATTTCAGAAGCAATGGACAGCAATGTCATCCTCCTTCATCCTCTTCGCTTTGAGGTTCAGGGTGAAAATGATGGAGGCTTAAGTTTAAGGCCTCATTCACACTGCCGCACGTATACGCGCGTATTGTCCCATATGCAACATATGCAAATAAATGGCTCCATACACATATCTGCGTATGGAGCCGTATATTTGCATAGCGTAAACATGCGCAAAACGGAATGGAACCGAGATGCGTCCGGGCAGCGTATGTCTGCGTATTCACGGGCATATACGCGTATATACGTGCGTACATGCTTACAGCACATTAAACATTCCATTACGAGTGATGCATTCTGGGATTGCATATAGTGCAGGCATATACGCACGTATATGCGTATAAATACGTGCATATACACACGTTCATACGCGCATATACCCAATATACAATTTTGCTCTTGCGTTGTGTGTGAATAAGGCCTAAGGGAAATCTAAGGGTTGGGTTTAACTTTTTTTCCCACTTTTTAGCAATTAAACCCCTGCACCAAAAAACAACTGCCAATTAGTGTAAGTTATTGTATATAAGCCAATTTATAGGGTAACATATCCATTTTGTTTTGTGGCTGTAAAGCACAAAGCAGAAGAAAACAACGGCACCTTAAATAGTTGCGAGATCAGACTGACTGTTTCCTGGAAGAAATGTGTTAATAATTCCCAGAATTCCAGGCTCTCCCCACCCTTCCAGACATATGTGGTTAGATTGAAAACATATGGTGAGCATTTTCCGGAAACAAAAATGATCCAAGAAAGAAAAGAGAATGAATTAAACAAGGAAAGAAAAATCAAAAATAAACAAACATAGACCCCTCCCGGGGTAAAGGGCGGTCTGCATGCCGGTGTCAGAAAGAGCGATAGACTGCGCAGCGCTAATCTGCTGTGGAACAGAGGGAAAATACAGCCGTAAGGCCTTATTAAATGAGCAGTGCAAGTCGGTGACCTGACTGATTGAATTAACCCGCAATGAAATGTAATAAACACACATTCTCTGAGAGATATGAGAAGAAGAACACAAGGCAGCGTCCATGACATTCCCATCTATGTACTCTGGTTATGTGTAAGATGTGTGACAGGGATGAGGAAGCTTCCTTCTTAAAACTTCCCTTCCTTCTTAAACTTCCCTTCCTTGTTAAACTATATCCTCCAAGTGCTGAAGATTGACATTTCATTCTCTGTCACAGAGAACTAAACAAATATTCAGTAGTAGTGGGTGACTGAGCCAGGAACACAGATGAAAAGGTCTCACCACAGAAGGTCAGATGTGATTCAGGTCAACAATGTCTACCCATTGCTAAAATATCAATCTTAGATGGACCGACCATTCAAATCCACATGCTGCCTTCATAGCAACTGTAAAGAATAAATGTACCTTAGTGATTATAAAAATACAAATTAACTTCAATCTAAAGTGACATTAAACTCAGGAGTTAAATCTTTAAAATGCATTCAAGTGCCTTAACTATTAACAAAAATGTCTCTTATTTGTGTATCACTCGGCTGTAGATCCTCAAATCATCTCTGAATTAGTGCTGACACTGTCCTTCCTTCTGGAGGGTGGCTACTTTTGTTCCCCATGGTCCCTGTGTGTTGTAAAGTAGCCACCACTCCAAGCTCACTCCCGTGATGGACTACAATCTCACATTCAATTTACTAATTTGTATTAAAATTATAGGCTATCATAGGAGCAAGCTTGGAGCGGTGACTACTTTACAACACACACAGGGACCTTGAGGAACAAAGGTAGCCCCCCTCCAAAAGGAAGGACAGTGCAGGCACCAATTCAGAGATGATTTGAAGATCTACAGTGAAAAACAGACAGCAGCACCCAGAAACAGTCCAAGCAGGTTTGTCGTGCACTTTTATTTAGCAAGGCAGTGTTCTGTCAGCAATCAGCCTTTTCAGCAGGCTCTCAGAACAGAGACAGACAGTCCTAAGCATCAGTCAGGTCACATACATAAAGGTCAGAGGCCTACACACAGCTAAGACTGATAATGAGGTCTGGCTACCAGGTAAGATGTGGACCTAGGAATGAAGGCTTTATCCCACCCAAAGCTCTACAAAACATATGGGGTCCAGGACCCAGAAGAAGACTTAACAAAATCAGAGAAAACAAAGTTTGTTAGTTCTATATCAGACACAAACCTTGAAGCCTCTCCATGTGTATGTGAGAAACCTAGGTGACACACTGTCCACAATCCTGCCA